GTCCTCATCTGGACTGTAGGATGACAGGACAAAATCAACCAACAACACCTCAAAGATCATCTACCTCTGTAGGTCTTGATGAATTTTATCTAACTGAACCTAAAGAGTGGTGAATCAGATGAAAATGAATTATTTTAGAAAAGTTGTACAGACACATATAAAAACAAAATGTTATAATCTTGGCAAATCCAGTTGAAACATATCAACAGAGCCATGACCTAATGCAAGTCCTGAAATGATCATTGTTCTATTTAACATCTATTTACCTGTCTGTCATCTATCTATCTATCTATCTATCTATCTATCTATCTATCTATCATCTATCTATCTATCATCTATCTATCTATCTATCTATCATCATCATCATCTATCTTCTATCATTTATTCAGTCATCCAATCATATCTTTCTACCTAGAAAAAAAGATGTGGAAGCCAGGCTCATGATGCAGGCCTGTAACTGCAGTTATTTAGGAGGCTCAGGCAAGAGCTTTATAAGTACAAGGCCTATTTGTGCTACAAAGTGAATTCAAGGCCACATCAGGCAGCTTAGTGAGATACTGTCTTATTTTAAAAAGTAAAGAAGAGAGCTGGGGCTATAGATGAATGGTAGAGTGCTTTGCCTAGCATCCATTAGTCCTGATGTTCAATTCCCAGTACCAGGAAAAGCATTTAGAGGTTATATCTTCATTGTTTACATATACAACTCTAAGTTGGTGCCCTAATTTCCTGATCATGTTTCTTTCTATTATTTTTGCCAGAAAAGAAATTAAAAAGGACATTTTGCTTTGCACATCTCTCCACTGTTATAGATTTTCTTTTTAATCAATTACCTAGTTTTATTCTCATCTAACTATAAGATGATTTTAGCTCAGCCTCTGTGATGAACCATTGAGATGTATTAGATTAGTACCAACAGTGCCAAAGGAATCTCGTGTCTATTTCCTGTCGTTTATTGCACATCTTTGCTGATTCAAATAGAAAAGGCAATTTCAGCTTCTCTGTTTCTAACCAGTAGTTTCATTATATATTTTTATTATTGAATTTTTGTAATTATCATATAATAATTTGATGGTGTTTAGATCCTTTCCCCTATCTGCACTTCCCCTTATTGCCTCCCCCAATTTAACATGCTCTATTACATATATAATAATGTCTAAAGAGTCTAATTTGTGTCCGCATTTGTCCTTTAGTCTGGGCCCATCCATTGGAACCTGGATAAAGTTCCAAGGGTCCCATCCTCAAAAGAGATGATCTCTCCCCTTTCTAGCAACCATCAGTTGCCAAAATTTTCCTTAGGTGAGACTGGAGCTTCTTACGCACTTCCCCATATCTATGCTGGGATTTTGTCTGGTTTAAGCTTACATCAAACTTGTACATGGTGACACCATTTCTGTAAGTTCATATGACTGCCTAGCTGTCTGGAAAATTCTTTTTATTTGTGGTCATCCAAAACTTCTGGTTCTTACAATATTTTTAACCCCCCTTCCACAATGATCCCTGGGTTTTGAGAGGCAGAATTTTGATATAGGTGCCCTATTCAGGGATAAGCACTTTACAGTCTCTTGTTCTTTGCACATTGTCCAGCTGTGTGTTTCTGTATTAATCACCCTCTGCTATATAAGGAAACTTCTCTGGTAAGAGTTGAGAGATGCATTAATCTATGAGGATAGCAATAAGTCATTAGGAGTCAGTTTAATATGATAACTATTTAGCAGAAAAGTAGTATTCAGCTCTCCTCTGTCCTGTAACCTGTCTAGCCTCAGGTTTCTAAGCCTAACATCAATGTCAGGTATGGACTCCATCTTATGAAGTAGAACTTAAATACAATTTCGGAGTGGTTGGTTACTCCCATAATATTCATGTCACTATTGCCCTGGTGGACAAGTTATTGTAGTTCATATAATTCACAGTTGGATAAGACTGATGATTAATTTTCTCTTCAGGTAGCATGCACAGGAAATTCCAGCACTATGAACAGTAGCCAGTAGGGATGAGGCTGTGAAGTCAGCATCAGCTTGACTCTTCCTTGTTTGTTCTATAATAGGGTCTTACTATAACATTTGGTGGGTAATAAAGAGAAGAGGCAATGGCCAGTATTGTTTGAGAGTCTATGGGACCCTGAACAATATTTCTAGAGAGGGACTTCTTTCCTGTCATTGAAGTTTGTTGTTTTATATTAGCTTATGAAGTCTAGAAAGGGCACTGTCCCCTTGTTATAGGATAAGTCCTTTTAATCTCTGTTTATGATATATATATATATGTATATACTTTAAGAAGCTTCTATAGTGGTAGGTTTCCACATGGCTTTTTCTAAAGAACTTTAGTGTTACTTGTGCCTCCTCATACTTCCTCCTCTGCTTAGCCCTCCCATTTCCCACCCCATTAACCCTTACTAATGTTCCCTTTTCTCCTTCATATCACTGCATTCTACAACCCTCCCAGGAAGCTTCCCCTCAGCCCATAGCCATTTATTAGGTTCTTGACCTCTCTGAATTTTCAATTTGAAATATGTGCATCTAAGATTTCAAAGCTAGCAGAAGATATTTGTCTTTCTGAGTCTGGGTTTTCTAACTCAGGACAATTGTTTCCAGTTCCATTTATTTTCCTGTGAATTTCATAATTTCATTTTTTTAAGAGCTGAATAATATTGATGGAGGAAATTCTTTAATTGAGGTTTCTTCTTCCCAGGTGACTCTAGGTCAGGATACCATCCACGGAACTTGCATTTTTGAAGTCATTTGAAACAATCAGTAATATAGTGCTAACTAGAAAATCAATGAGATTTGAGAGAAAAGAGAATACTTGGCCACTTTGAGTACTTTATATTCTCCCAGGTGCTACTTTCCACAGATTCTATTTTAAGTCCTTTATATTTATTATTAATCTAAATACAAGTGTCATCCCCCACTTGGCAGAGAAGAAAATGAGATGTAGCAATAATATTCCTAAATTCATACAAGTAGCTCATGACATCACCAGAAGCTGAATCCAGGATTCCTACCTAAGACTGTTTAGTACACTGCCACTCCACGATGGTAAAGACTTTACCTCAGAGAATAAAGTGAGGTAGTATTGCATATTTATTGAAAGCAGTTTGTGCAAACAAATATAATCTTTAAAACCAAAGACTAGGTAATTTGAAAGAATGGGCCAACAGGATAGTTCCTGAGGGTGAGTTGAATTGCTGTTCAAGAACTTTTAAAAATTAGATTACTAATCCTAGGAGATGACTCAGTTGCTAAGATGCTTGCCTTACAAGTTTGGGAACATGAGTTTGATCCCAAAAATCTACATGAAAAAAAAAGCCTGTCATGTGGTGCACATGTCTTTAGTGCTGAGACACAGAGATAGGCTGATCCCCAGGGCTTGCCAGCCAGCCAGACTAGCCCACTTGATGAACTACAGGCAAATGAAAGGTCTTGTCTCTAAAAAACAAGGTGGACATTGTTTAAGGAACAGCAGCCAGATACTGTCCTCTGGCCTCCATAGACACACACACATGCACACACACACACACACACACACACACACACACACACAAAACATACGCATGCACCCATGCATCCACGAATGCACTCAAGCACGCACCTGCATGCACATGGATCTGCACACATGCACAAAAACAGAAATTATATTTCCTCAATTGCAATCTTTGACTATTTAAAAATGATTAACCACGTATTAATAGTCTTTTTCTTTATTTTTTTTTCATTTCAAAACCACAAAAAGTTTTCAGCATGCAGTCAAGTGCTTTGAGAAGAGAATGCTAAACCCCACATGGGGATATTGATTCTGTATCAAGAGAAGCAGTATGTATTTACTGCAGTGTCAGCCCAAATTCTCAAAGCTGGTTCTTGAGCTCTCTTCAACATGCTTCTTGTTGCCATAATTTTTCAATAAGCTGCAAAATTTCATTATTATTTAAAAATATAAAAATCTGAGCACATCTGTATGAATTTTCAAAAACACAGATTATTAAAATAATATTTTTAATGAGAACAATTTTAATGTATTAAACCAACTTTTTATTTATTATTTTTGTGGTACTACGTCCTTGTACACGCTAGGCAAGAACTCTATCACTGAATTATATCTCCAGTGCTCTTTTCATTTTTTATTTTAAGACAGAGTCTCACTGTTTCCTGGACTGACCCATGAATTCATTCTGTAACCCAATAGGCCTTGAACTTGCAATCCTTCTGCATCTGCCTTTTGAATATGATTATAGACCCTCACCACCATAAACCTGGCTTTGAGCCTTCAAAAGTAGATCTTAAAATTATAACTTTTGTCCTATAACTTTATGTAATTATATTAGAAATTCATATATTCAGACTAAACTCATCAAGGTTGTATTGTAAGTATATAAAAGGACTATTTATAAATATTGAGTCAATTATGCCATTAAAATTGGCTAAGATATTCTTGATGATGAAAAGGGAAAAGATTTTTCTTTTAAATCTGTTTTACTTTTTTTTGTCATGGTAGCAGGAGAAATTTTTTTCAGTGTAATTATATTATCTTTAGAATGAAAATGGTTAGTGTTATAAAGTAATCTGGCTGTCTATAATCATGCCACTAAGGAGACAGGCACAGATGCTCTGGTCTATAGCCCAGTATGCCTTTTCTCCCCTGTACACCTTCCCGTTCCCTCAAAGGGAAGAGAAGGAAGATTTCCAATGAAGGAAAAAGTAGCATCAATGTACTCTAGAGCTTTATTTTTATTTTTTTTTAAGACAAACTGAGGCCACACCTTAATACCAAGCATACCTCCCCAACCGGATAAGTGTGCCGTTCTGAATCATCACTAGCTGCACACCATGAGCCCTCTACTGTTTGGAGCTTCTCTATGCAGGTATTGACAGTTGCTTCATTGTGTGGAAACATGCCTGGCACTGAAGCGACCATGTTCCTATCAGGCTATCAAGGCAGCAAACCTCAGTCAGTAAACCTGTCCGACTTGTTTCCTTTCTTGTCCCCAGTGACTGTCATTATTTTCCAGCTTCCTAGTCCTAACCTGGCTGATAGAGATCAGATGGTGACTGAATAGAAGCTGCCCCAGTCCTGGGTCCATGATGTACGCGTAAGTACTCAGCTTTTCTCAGTGAGTTGATGATTGGACAAGTATTTACACCTCCTGGGACAGGCTGTGCAGATGCTGGCTGGTAGAGCTTATTTCATCTGTAAGAGTTTTTCATATGTGTTATCATATTTCATGTTGAAGTTTTGTTTTGTTTTTGAATGAAATAAGAGTAGCCAATGTGGTATTTTCTTTCTAAATAAGAGAAATAGTAGTAATATATAATATTATCAATATTATATTTTAACATTTGGAGAAAATCTGTGCTTCTAAGAATAAAGTATTTAAGATAGTTCATTTGATTCCTTACTATGTTTAATAGTATATTCTTATAGTATATTATTTATTGAAGTATATTCTGGGACAACAAAGTAAAGATTAAAGAGGAGAAAGTATTGAATTTTTCATTTGTCAATTCCAAGTGAAAGAAATCTGTCCACATGGGATTACTGTACATATCACATGAATGAAATGATTGAATTAAAATTCTGATATGTGAGCAATTATTGAATTAACAAAATTTCATGTGGCATTTATCATAATTGAAGTCCAAAATAACTGATCCCTTGATTTTAGGTAGTGTTAAGGCTATTTGTTTAGACTGCAATGAATAACTGAGCAATTTTTTTTTCAAACTCCTATAGATTTCAAACATTTTTCCCCCAAAGATGAGTCTCTCTAAACACAAATTTCTGGTGTTTCCATTGACCAGTGTGTCAGGCGTAATTCTGATTTTGTGCTCATTGTAATTGTATAATCATCTGAGTTTATCTTCTACGAAACACACTACAATGAAAGCTTGTGGGCTTTCACATTTCTAAATGATAAATATTCTTATTTTCCCTAATATACTTTCCAATATTAGCATGAGTCCTAAGCAGACTCCATTTCATGCACAAAATTTCCCCTCACAGACACTTTCCTAACTGTAGAACCCAGTATAATATCCATACTTTTAAGTATAAGAAAGTATATTCATGACTTAACAAGATGAAGTATACAGTAGAAAACCTAGTTTTATATTTGCTGAACACTCATATGAACATATAACAATTTCAATTTAAAAAGATGTATCAAGAAATTGAAGTCTTCATGTCCATTGGTTTTAAGATTCTGTGATATGCTTTTCCAACAGCCAACTCCTCCACTTTTCAATTTATGGCATCATTTCCACTCACTTTTCTACTCTAAATATTTTATTATAGGTACATGAAATTTCCATACTGAAGCCTCATCCATTTTGGTTCAGAGTACATTGCTCTGAGTATTTTAAGCATCCTTTCTAATTGAACTCCACACAAGAATTGTTTTTATTGTTGTTTTTTAAAAATTTTTATTTATTATATTTTATGTATATGTCTATATTGCCTGAGTGTGTGTAAGGGCACCCGTGTCATGCAATGCCCACGGAGGTTAGAAGAAGGCATCAGATCCCCTGGAACTGAAGTTACAGACAGTTGTTAGCGGCCATGTGGGTGCTAGGATTCGAACCTGGGTCTTCTGCAAGAACATTCAGTGTTCTTAACTGCTGAGCCATCTCTCCAGCCCCACAAGAACTATTTTTAACACAGATATCTGCCAAAAAGTATGAACTGTTCATAAAAACAGTATGAAATCAGGCAATGGGTTTATTGAATTCATTAGCAAAGGCATTTTGTCCAAGAGATCTATTTTCACAGAGTAAATGAGTGTGTGTAAGACACACACACATAATTTTTTTTTTTTTAGCAAAAGTCTGGTCTGACATTGTGGTGAAGTAGAAAAAAATAATGTTTATTTCCACATTTTAGATTTAGATTTCCATTCATCTGGGAAAGTCTTTTATCTCTCAAGTCTTCATAATTTCTGTAAAAAGACAGGGAGCATTGACAGTAAAAGAAATGGAGTGAGCAGTATAGCCATTAGTGGAATTTGGAATCATCTTTGTAGACAAATAAAAAGTTATTTTTGTTTTATTGATTTATTATTTGCTTGATTTTGGCATCACTAGCTCTCTTTGTTATATATAAATAATAAATAGTATTTATGTATTTTCATATTTTGAGTATGTTTTCTATTTTATTATTTTTATTTATGTGTATGAGTTTATTGCTTACGTGTATATAAGTGCGACCATGCCATGCAATGCCCATGGAGGTCAGAAGAGAGTGTCAAATTACCCTGGAACTGAAGTTATGGTCACTTCTTAGCCACCATGTGGATGCTAGGAATCAAACCCTGGTCTTTTGCAAGAGCAGCAAGTGCTCTTAACCACCAAGCCATCTCTCCAGCCCCTATTTTATGTTTTTTATCGAGGAATTGTTTCAGATATGTCTTAATGCAGAAAATTTCTAGCTTTAGGTCTTGGTCAAAAATGTTTCTATAACATTAAGTCAGATAATCTTAAAGTTAATTTGAGTACTTAAATTCTATGATTTCAGAGTTAATAGCTAATTAATATGGAGAGCAATTTAGTTGGGGGAAGCATTTAATTTATCCCAGAGTATAATTCTCTGTCTGCTTTTTGTTTTGTATTGTATTGCCAGTCACTTTATTTGGTACTCTCTACAAGTGAGGCAGAGACATGAGCTACAGCTACCAGAAATTATAGACCTTGGTGTCAAGAGGCAAATCATTAGACCACACTTTGATGGATCAATGTGACATATGTAATAAATGGTCATGGTCTTTAAAAACAGGTAGAAGTTAGTTTGAGGAAAAGAAGGATATATCTTGGGCCAAAGAGAATAAAGTCATTGAAAGTCATGAGGCTTTAAATATGCCTCTAAGTTGACCTTGGAACTTGTTTAATGAAACTGAAATGAACAGTCTCTGAGGGGGCTTTTTACCAGACTATAAGTCTCTAAACTTCATTATGAGAGTTTAGTAAAAATGTAAGCAAGAGGAAGAACTGGTTAAATTTGCCATTTAGAACTGTTAAGGGGAACTTGCTCACTTGATGGTTCTATTGTTATCTGGTCGCAGCTGCAGAATTTGATGAAGAGACAGGGGTACAGATACTATATCTGCTCATTGGTTGTTTCCTTAGCTTGTAAGGAATGTGCCGCCATTTAGTGAGACCTCACAATCTTCCTTTATGATTCTAACCAAATTTGCTGTGATATCTTTTCCTCTGAGCTGACATTTTAGTTATTCCTGAAGCAAAGCCATTCCCTTCAAAGTTGCATAAAACATCATACATATACATACATTTACTGGCACTTCTCTGTATGTTTATTTTCAGTGACATCTCCCCAGTTAAATGGAAATCTTTCTGTGTCTCTAAGGCTAAATATACTGCCTGTCTCATTATAGACTTTCAACATCTGAGTGTTGATTTATGACTAAATTTTACTTCGGACAAGATCAGTTACCAAGAAAATAGAGAAGGCTAGGAGTAAATGAAACTTTCAGATTTATGACCCATTACATATCTATTAATGATGCTTATGAGATATTTACAATACAGTAATTTAGGAGGTATATAAAAGCTTAAAACTATGGAGAGAATTTGTTCCAAGTAAACATATATGTTGTGATGCTGACAGGAATTTATTATTGAAGAGAATAAAGCATTAGATAATTGTTCATGGGCTAGATTTTAGATTTCATTCACTCATCAATTCAATAAACATTTATAGCAGTTTATAGTATACTACAGTACATTATACACACACTTATACATATCTGTATAAATTATGTATGCACATACACATAGTATGTCTATTATATGTGCATATACATACATACCAGATCATACAAAAGAATAAACAGGTGCATACATATAATAATTAATAAAATCACAAATTTTCTGGTGTTTACAAACTAAGGAAGAGACATGATAATGATTGGACAAACAGAAGTGAAGTATAAATGTCATAAATATGAAATAAAAGTTTTGTATTTTTTCCCTGAAAACTTTCAAATTCACTTTAACTTCTAGCATCTTGAAAAGTTAACTTTCCATTCATATGTTATTTTCATTTATTTGCAAATGAATCAAGGCTTAAGTTTTCAAATGAATTTTCAAAACATCACATGCTGCTACAATTTGTCACTTTGCTCAAATGAGATTTGAGAAGCTCTGAAAAGCATCTCAACACTATTCAACAAACGCAGGAAAGCAATGTGGAGAGCAGAATCTAGACCGAGAGGATGAATTTGTGCTTACAACTGTCATTTGCAGTAACCTTTAAAAAGCACATTGTTTGCTAAGGACTCTAAGGGGTTGGTTCTCCTAATGCAGTGGGTTAGGTAATATGAGATATTTAGAAATAAGTAAAATGTTGTTGTATTTTTGAATCATATAGTCATTATGATTTCATTACTTATTATGATTTATCCTGAACCCTTAGCCTTTGAAAAACTTTCAAAATTCAAGTTCAAATCCTAATTCAGGGTCACCTGAGAGGCATTTGTCCTTGCAGGTTTGGATTCTGTACATTATATTTTTAAATGATGTATATGAGAAAAAACTGATCACAGATTCCTTGCCATTGCAAAGGTTTAAAAAAAATACTTTATTTCTGTGAAGTTTTTAATATGCTATAATAACTGTTCAAATTATTGCTCAAATTTGAAAAAAATAATGATTCTTGATTAAGAAAGAAACCCACATTTTGGGTGTCTTACATATTATAAAATAAAAATTAAGTAAATTGCAACTATAGAATATGTACAATATGATCTACAACTAAGGATTATATGAAATTAAAATCACTGTGCTGGTTATAACCATCGAAAACTAGCAATTTCATATGGTTCAAATTTATCAAGTATCTTTCTGGTCGTGTTTGTTTTTCTTAGAATGTTTAATGCAACACTCAGAACACATTATTTAGGCATATTTAAGTCCATATGCTATTTTTAAATGTTGTCACAGACACTGCTGTGTAAAACAATCTGGATGACACATCCCAACCGATGAGATAAGATAACGCAAGTTGTCAAGAAATAACTCCTGAAAAACAAAATGCAAAAGAGAGTGTAGGGTATGTCTAGGTATAAAAGAGAGTGTAGGCTGT